GGTTGCATCCTTACCCAAGCTGACCTTGATTGAGTGTTTCTCGTCATCCACAGTGAAACAGTGTGCTGCTGTCAGCACAAAGTACTCAGACACCACAGCACCCATACAGCTCTCATGTCCCTTCAAAGGACGCTGGGAAGAGAGCGGCAGAGGGAAAGCTCGGCTTTCACAGACAACACCATCTATGAACACTTTGCCCTTCCCCCGACCTTCGTTTCACCCTGACCTCCCCTCCCATAAGTTCCCGCCACCAGGACACTGCACTCACAGTGACTGAGATCTTGGCCTGCCATGGTTGCTTGTGATAGTCAGTACCTTTCTTGTGCTCCCAAACCATGCCGCAAAGACCCAGAGTCCGGGTTTCATCTGGCAAGAAAGGAGATTGTACTGAAAGCCGGGACACTTCATTTCCAAATGGCAGCAGCCTTTCGGGGAGGGACACCTACATGTCTATGGGGACCAGATGCCCATAGGAGGAAAGGGAAGGCAGGGGCACTTGTTTCCTTACTTTGAGGGCAGGGAACCACTGTGGTATCGTGAAAAGAACGGGGAACAAAGATCAGAGAGCTGGATGTTTTCAGGCCCAGCTCTTGCTAACTTGTCGTTCCTTGACCTCTCTTGGCCCCAGTTTCCACATCTGTAAAACGAGGAACTTAAGAAAGATCTCTGCATCATTCAGAACTCTGTGATTCTAAGATCAGGGAGTGGGCAGTACCAGGAAGCAAGAATAGTGACATGGAGGTAGAGAAGGAGGAATGAGAAAGGACTTGCAGACTGCCAGGGCTTCAGGAAGGGTGGAAGAATGAGTGACCTTGAGGGGTCTGGGGAGAGCTGAGTTTCCTGACCATCTCCTTATCCCCTTCTGATATCTTCCTACCAAGCATTTGTATGAAAACATCCTCCAGGTTATCTATGTCCTTGAGTTTGAACACGTGTTGCTCCTTATCCTTCTTGGAAGCCAAAGCATTGATGCTGTCTTGGTCCACCAGAGGCCCAACCCCAAACACATAGATGTCTGGGGGAGAAAAAGGGAGAGTGAGGGTCCAGGCCCTGGGGGGCAGGAGCTAAGAAAGTGGGGTGCTGAGTCCTAGGCAATAAAACTCACCCAGATAATCCTCCCTGGGGTTTTTGCGATTTCTACCAATGTCCAGCAAGTCCCGGATATTGTGAATGACAGAGACTGGATCCCCACCCATGTTGTGCAAGCCTACAGGAGAGACCAGGACCATGAAGGTGGGAGACAAGGAAGGAAGAGGGTCAAGGAAGATAAGCTGGCTAGAAGGAGTGACATATACTGCTGAGTGAGCAGGTTGGGGAGGAGATGGACATGAGAGATGGTGGCAAGAAGGGTCCCTCCGCATAAAGGTTCCCAGGAAAGAGCAGCATTCAGGCCCCCACCCGTGAGTCCAGCGTTACACGTGGACTTCAGGGCCCCACGCTGGTTGGAGAGGGTGGGGAGTCAGAGGCAGGGGGACGGTCCCTCTGACCATCAGTCATGAGGAGGATGACGTGGCGGGTGCGGTTCCAGGCTTCAGGGAGGTCGTTCACTTCCCTGCTCATCATGTTGTATACTTCCAGGAGAGCCTTCTTGGTGTTAGTCCCTGCCTTCAACTTGTGGTCTGTGGAAAGAGAAGAAATCATCACCTCCACCTGGACTTCCAAGCCATCCTTGACCCCAGAGGCCTAGCAGCAACTGAGATCCACATCTGTCAACTTTTTGAGTTAATTGTCACCCCAGTGACTTCCCTTTGACAACAAAGTGACCATCTCAGTTCCAAAGGGTTCCCACCAAAAACCCCCATTTTCCAATGACCCTGCTGCCCATCCATGGATTAAAAAGTAGTCCTCCTTGTCTCACTGCCCTCCCCACAACACTCCTGAAACTTCGGACCTCTCTGACCCCAAAGTGAACCTCCCACCATTCCCTTCCCTGACTTCTGACCTTCGTAGTTGATTTGGTTGAGCTGCTCTGTGACCCAGTCTGCATCGCTGCTCTTTTGGTCAGACACTCTGATCAAAACTTTGGGGTCTGTGGCATATGTCACTAGACCATACTTTGGCCTCACCCCATAACTTGCCACCTGTGGGTGAGGGGAGCAAGGGGTCATGGCATTGAAAGTAGAATATATGGCTGGGAGAATTCAGCAGCTTTACTGGGACAGACAGGGAAGGACATAGTAAGAGACTCATCACCCTGGGCTTCATGGAGGAGCCTGGGTTAAAGATCAAGAAAATGCTTCAAGTAAAAGGAAAGGAAGACAGAATAGGACCTGGAGATTTTCTGGGACCCTGTGGCTCAGAGGGGCTGGGAGCATCAGGGAGCTAGTCCTGGCAGGGCAGTGAGGTCCATTCAGGGTCTCCACGTTCAGGGGGAGGGGGCCCCACCTTCTCAATGAAGTTGCTGAGACAACTCTTGGCCCCTGTGAAGTTGCGGGACCCAATGCTGTCTGACCCATCCAGCACCAGGTAGATGTTCATGGAGCCCGAGGGGTCCAGGATAATCTTCCTCTTCTGTTGTTCCCCTGGGTGCCAACAGAGAGACTCAGGCTCCAGGATGCATGGTTCTCCTGCCCCTTCTCCATCCTCCCCCCACCCCCAATTCCCTGCCCTGCCTCCCCTCTCTATCTTCAAACCTGGGCTGTGCCCATCCTCAGCATCAACTCCTTCTATGGTCTCTGTCAGGGAAGACAGGAAGGCTTCGGCCACCTCTGCAGGGGTATCGTACATAAAGGAGTCTGGGAGAAGTCAGAAAGCAGGTCAAATGTCTGGGCGGGTCGGGGACACAGTGACGAGAGATGGTGGGTTTCCAGGGTGGGAAGGGCTCAGAAGTTCTTTGGGGAGGTTTAGAAGTGAGGAAGGAGCTGGGTTGCAGTAGGGGGAGAAGGCAGTGCTCTGGTGTGGGAATGTGAGGATGGGAGAGCAGGATCTGACGTGAGGGTGCAGATCAAGGGTCACCTTGGCAAGAAGGCTCCGTTCCACTCCAAGAGCCACCTTCCTGACATGTTCGCCGCTGGGAGCCACGTAGGGTGAGGCCCCGGCTGCAGTAGTAGGTGACACTGTCTTCAAGGCGGTACTGGCTGCCCACCTTCCTTGTGCCAATAGGGATGCCCGGGTTCAGGCAGTACCCCGCTGCAGAAGCATGAGACATGGAGGTAAGGGCCAAAGCCTGAGGGCAAGTTAGAGCACAAGAGCTATGGTGCCAGTTCCTCAGGCTGAGGGTGGTCAGGAAGAAGGTACTGTCGTGGGAAAGGGGGACGCTTCTCACCTCCATCATCGCAGATGGCCGTTTCCCCATCCCACCGACCCGTCACTTGGCAGGTGCGATTGGCAGAGCCCCGGAGACTGTAACCATCATAGCAGTGGAAAGAGATCTCGTCACTCAAATTGTAGTAGGGGGCCCGGGGCCAGTACTCCCCGTTCTCAAAGTCCTGTGGTCTGGGACAGCGAATTGCTTTGGGGGAGAAGAACAAGTAGACGTTACTGAGACGGACGGGCTGCCCTTTAGGGTATCCCTCCTGGTCTCAGGGGCCCTGTCACTGAGGAATCCTGCCGCTCCCCCCTCACCATTTCTGGGTGTTCTTTGAACTGCCAGGGCTGCCTGACACGGGGTAAGCGCTCAGTAAAGGTTAGCTCCCCTTCATTCTCCCTTCATCCCACCTCCAGCCCTTGCTCAGCTCCTACCCTTGCTCAGCCCAACTTGTCAGCCTGCCTGGTCTCCACACAAGTCTAATCTTATCCAGGTCTGGACCTTGGCCACCACCTGCTCCGTCCCTCCACTGGCCCAGGCCCATCCTCACTGCCCTCCCACCTTTGCATTCGGCCCTCTTGACGATCTTTTTGTCTTGGGTCTGCAGGGTGCTCCAGGATCCCGTGGATCTGCAGGTGCGAATCTGCACAGGGTATGGGTAGAAGCCAGAAGGACACAAGTACTCCAGTGACTGGCCCGCCTTGAGAAGCCGGAAGGAGCCACCTTTGATCTCTACTCCCTCCAGAGAGCAGGGGCTTTGGGGCCCAGCCTCAGGCAATGGCGTCATGCTCACACCTAAAGAGAAAGGCTGGGTGAAGCCCAGCCTCACAAGGCCAAGGACGGATCCTGGGGGCAGCAGGGGTGGGGGGGAGGTGGGCTGTGACCTCACTTACCTCCAGACAAGAGGCCCAGGATCAAGGGTACCAGGCAGAGGTGGGGGCTGCAATTGCTCCCCATGGTGACGGGAGACAGGAGAGAAACGGGCTGGTGGCAGGATGGCCTCTCCTGGCTTCTGCTGCGTGTCTGCTTGGCTCGATGTCCAAGCTGAAACTCCAGACCTGAGCCTGGTCACACTCCCTTCCCCTGCCCCTCACAGCCTCCAGCCTTTTACGCAATCTGTGTTCTGGCACCTGCTGCCCGCTCCACCCACCCTACCCATGTCACTTTCCGGAATGTCCGAGCGGGAATCCAATCAAGGAAACAGAAACTGCAAAACCCCACCTTTTGCTGCCCAAGGTCCAGGACTCTGCCTGTCAGCACCTCCTCTCAGCTCCAGTTCCTCCCCAACAAGCCCAGACCTCCCCCTTGGGGACTAGATATAAGGCCCTCACTGGCTCCCCTGTTGACTCTGTTATGGAGCAGAGTTCAGCCATTGTTTGTCCAGCAGGGTCTCTGACCTGCCTTCTTGCCGTTCCTGGAATCATTCTGGCCTCTCTCTCCCCCCAGGCCAGCCCCCAGGCAGAGGCACAGACAGATGTGGAAATCACTGATTTTATTAATTTCATAGCCAGGTAATTCCCTGTGAAAGCGGAAGGAGAGTGAGGCAAGTAAAGCAGAGGGTGGGGTCCGCACTGGCAGGAGTGCCAGGGCTTCCCCAGCGTGGATGTGCCGCTGCTTCGGGATCCTGGAAGCAGGCATGCGCTCAGAGCAAGGCGTGCGGATGGGTCATGGAGGCTGAGGGTGGACGTTCGGTGGTAGGAGACGGGAGAGATGGCGGGTCCTGGCAGGACAGCAAAGGGCTCAGTGGCCATGATCAGAGGGGCAAAAAGTTCAAGACACCCTCCAGGTGCTGTCTCAGCCAGGGCTGCACGTGGAAGAGACTGATGTGGAAATCTCGTGGTGGTGGGACCCTGCCACGGGGCGCGCTTTTGCGGGAGTTCTTATCAGAGCTGCCACAGGGGTTGTAGAGACCCCAGCTCACCAGGCCCACCTGGAAGAAGGAGAGGTTGGGGTGGGGACGCTGCCCCGGTCCCAGCCCCAAGCCCCAACCTCCTTAGTTCCTTCGAAGGCCTGCCTCGTGCCTCCGCAAGGCCAAGATCCTGTAACTTCAGTCCTGCGAGCTTCCCCCATCTCTCCTCACCTGAAAAAACCTGAACCTCCGCTCAAGGAAAACTGCTCCCCCAGATTCTCCTGCCAGAAAGGAGGGACAAGAGACTGTCATCCTGACTCTCATCGCCGCATCAGGGTGGTGCACCGTTGTCCTGGCATGCAAGCTGGCCAGAGGGACACAGGTGGCCTTCCCCTCAGGAATCCAGACTCCAGGGTGGGGACTGGGGATGAGAAGTGGGGCGGGGGGGGCTCACCCTTGCAGGGATTGTCATCCCCCTGCATCCCACTGCATAGGAACTGGTCTGTCACCACCTCTCCGACATCTGTCAAGTTGGGGAACGTGATTTTGTCTTGGGAGACCACCTTGACACAGTTTGTCCACTGCAGTAGGGGTGGAATAGGACAGAAGGATGGAGTGAGCAGGCGGGCCCCAGGGACACCTGGCAGTGCAGCTAGGCCTGGAGGAGGGGTGACTTGGAGTCAGATGGAGAAAGCGCTCAGAGCTAGGGGATGAAGAGAGACGTTCCGGGAGTTGCCACAGGGGGATCCCATCCCCCCACAGCATACTGGACCCGAGACCCTCACCTCCGACCCTGTCTTGAGGTTAACGTTCAGCTTGTTCCCATTCAAAGCCACAAAATGAGCAGGA